CATTTTCATTCAGTCCGTCTGCTGTTTTTGTTTTGCGCAGGTGTCTTATGTAGCATAGTTTCACAAATCTAAAGTCAGACCGTTCTGTTTTTGCATTAAATCTTGAAATTATACAATCTAATTCAAATCAAAAACAACTGCTCATGCTACATGTATGTAGCACTACTGTCTGTTCAAAATAAATGAAAAAATACATTTCCTGTTGTACCAAACTCATATCGAACCATGACGCCAAAACCGGGTTACGTACCGAACCGTGACTTCTGTGTAGCGTTACACCCCTAATAGAGCTGCAGCTCGTCATATTAATGGAGTGATTCACTAGTTAGCAGTAAACCGGTTACCTCACCGGAATATGTTCTAGATTTGTGTTGAAATGTTGAAATCTTTGGAATGGAAATATGGATATTTTATGTGTAAACATCATACTTTTTTCGCTTATTTCAGTTTTTTTCAGCTTAAGAGGACACATAGGATGAATACAGAGATGCTTTAGATTACTTTAGGATTTACAGAACTTCAGATAGTTCCATGTACTCGTCTAGATCAAATCTGAATAAAGAAAAGAGACGTTTAGAGCTAGATTTTTATTTATTTATGTGAAATTTAGCTAGCAGGACACACAAATGAATTAAGTTATATTTTCCTATATTCTCTTTCGAGTAGTCAAACAATCCACAGAAAACATGTCTAAAACAGAAAGAAAAGTCACTTACAAAATGAGATCAGATGAACATTCTAGATCAAATCTGAATAAAGAAAAGAGACGTTTAGAGCTAGATTTTTATTTATTTATGTGAAATTTAGCTAGCAGGACACACAAATGAATTAAGTTATATTTTCCTATATTCTCTTTCGAGTAGTCAAACAATCCACAGAAAACATGTCTAAAACAGAAAGAAAATTCACTTACAAAATGAGATCAGATGAACATTAATAAATCTGACCAGAATGTCTCTGTGTACAAAACAAGTGAATGAATCTTCCTCAGAAGAGACTAAAACAACAGCTCACCTCAGTGTCTGACTTATATTACAATCACATCCATAAGCTTTTGCTGAAATTTGGATGAACTCACGAATCTGTTGCTTGACCTCTTCATATTTAAGAAGAGAACAATAGTTTCCAAAGTCTGACATTGCTTGTTATGATTTTCAAGGGTGTAGAGTTTAGTAGAGACGCTATGACATGTTCCTACCTATATCAGCCACTGCTAAATAATTGTAATCAAACAATTAAATGTCTGTTGTCTGCCGTTATGTCCATGCCACAATCAAACCTACACCCTTGACAGGACCTCAACTTCAACCACTGTCCGCATGATGCCGTCTGCTCACACAATGACAAGAAAATCACAAGCTCTGATTGGCTGCTGTTCACTAATCAACTAGATGCTCAATCAAACCACTCAGAGACATACAGGCTGTTTTCATAAGCAAAGACTTGACTGTTTATTTGACGTGCTGTTGCTGTAGTTTTAGCACCCAATTCATTCAACAATCACACATATCAGGTTATCGTTCAATTTTTCAGCAAATACACTCGACAGCATTGTGCATCTGAATCGTGTTTAACACCAGCTTTCCCTGAGCAGCAATAATGCAAATCACTGCAACTACAGTAATACAAACGTAAATGGATCCGTGAATCCAGCACATTCTATAATGAGCCTCATTTGTACAAAAGGAAGTGCATTTGCCTAGAAAAGAATGACAATGGATTGATAATGTTCTTGAAAGAGTTCTCTTCTGCTCACCAAGGCTGCATTTATTTGATCAGAAATACAGCAAAAGCACATGTCACATGATCTTCAGAAATCATTCTAATATGCTGATTTGCTGCTCAAGAAACATTTGTTGTTATTAATATTATTAATATTTAAAACAGTTTAGTACATTTTTTCAGGAGTCTTTGATGAATAGAAAGATCAGCATTTATCTGAAATTAAAAGCTTTTGTAACATTATACACTATACCATTCAAAAGCATGGAGACAGTATAAATTTTTTTGGGGGGGTGGGCCAATGTGCATTGGCTCGTTTAGTTTACACTCGAAGTAGATTGGTCTATCGAAGCGATATCCCAATTCGTCAGTCACGACGTGACTCGTAGTGACCGACTGAAAGGGAACAGCGTTTATTTGAAATAGAAATCTTTAGTAACATTATAAATGTCTTTACTGTCACTTTTAATCAATTTAATGCGTCCTCGTCCTCGATGAATAAAAGTATTCATTTCTTCAACTTACTGAGCCTTATATATATATTTTCAAATATTTTCATGACAATTTAAGCACATTTCTCCCACCCCAAAAATGAGAATCTAGTGAAAATCATTATTGAGAGTTATGGGAACTTGTCTAAATGCATTACAGCAATGAGAATTGTGGGATTGAATGTGCTTATTTGAATTCAATTCAAACACCTAATGGTCCTAAAATAGGCTTGCTGTTGTTAAGGCAAATTTCAGATTTACATGCCCACAAATGTCAAGTAATGAAACCAAAGTCTAGTTTGGTGTTTCAGATGGTCAGTTCTTAGCCAGAATAAACTGCAACTTCATTTTCATAGTCTGCTGATTGTGTCTGTGAAATAATGGTTTTGTGAACTTGCAGTGCTGCAGTTCAGTAGGTCAGTATGATCAGTGAAATCCTGGTCTTCTTAAACCAGTTTAACCGCAGTGTGTCAGCGGCTAATGGCTTCATTATTTCTCATGCTACTAGATTTCCAGAAACGGGTCCGAGGGGAGACACTTGGGTCAATGAATAAAAGCAGTTTTGTAAAAGATAGGCGCCCGTTTCTGGGAACTGCAACAACCTGGCAAATCACAAATCTAATGAGGATCGGCCGGAGACACACAGACGAGTCCGAACATCTGAGACACCAGAGAACATGCAATTTATTTATTACACATACAAACAGTGCACATCTGAATGATTTCTTATTCATCTGAGATTTAAGAGAGTCTTCAAACGCATCTAATTGATATCAGATTATGGCTGTGGTCTCGTACGTTTAGATCCTGCTGTACTGCTGTAGAAGAAAGCACAGAAGAGAGATTTTGTTGAGGAAGAGGCTCGTAAGAGCTGGTGATCCTCCCGCTGGGTGTGGGAAGTTTGAGCTATTTATATTCAGTGAGAAATGGAGCATTGCAGAACGCCCAAGGCTACAGGTGTGTGTGTGTGTGTGTGTGTGTGTGTGTGACAGCATTACACTGCTGGACACTCTCGTTTTAGTATTATTTATGCACTATTATAGTTTCATTCATATTTTGAATTATACTTTGTTTTAATTTTAATTGTAGTTAAATTATGAGGTATTGTGTTCATTTGAAATTTGTATTAGTTTTTGTTTTTCTAAATATTACTGTTAGGGTTTATTTTTATTTCAGTTTTAGTTTTCGATTCAATTTAGAATTTTTAAAATACTTTAGAAATTTATTTTAGAATTTTAGATACTATGCTGCCTTGGCAACTAACTGAAATAAGTTTTTCATCTATTTTTTAAAAATGTATTTCAACTTTATTTCAAATGTTTCATCATTTTAGTTTTATTATAATGATAATAACCCTAGAGCTGGACTAATCCCAGCTACTATAACTACAGTCGAAAAATTATTAAGTCATGAAATACTGTGAAAACACTTTTATTCTACGTGCTTGACACGACATGTGCCGTTTAACATAATAAATATGTTTGGTCATATTTCACCACAAAATTAAAAGCTAGAAATAAGAAATAATATTTTGCATAAAGAAAACCTATTTTTAGAAAAGTTGCTGAAATAAGTTTAAGCGTGTCATCTAATATTTTTATAACTTCATTTCAATTAGCAAAAATGTTTAATAATTTTAGTTTTATTTAACAATAATAATCCTGGAGCTGGACTAATCCAAGCTACAATAACTACAGTCAAAATATTATTGTAAAGTTTTATTATACATGCTTGACAAGGTTTTTTTTTTTTTTTTTTTAATAACTAGAGCATGCAATATTCTTGTATATATACTTTATTTAACGATAATAACTCTGGAGCTGGACTAATGACAGCTACAAAATTGCTACTCTAAGTCATAAAAATTCTACGTCTCAAATTCTACATGTTTGACATGACGTGTTTTTTTAATTAAAATATGCATTCATTTTTATTTTAGCCATGATTTAAAGAACACTTTTAAATGTTTCACTGATGTAACAAAATAATTTAGTGAAATGTTTTGAAACATTTTGCTCTTGCTTGTTCAACAAACACATTTTTTTCCACCACCGTCTGACTGCAAAAACAGCTACAAGTATAAACGTTATCAATAATGCATCATGAACAACCGCTCAAAACAACCAGCAAAAATAATCTGCCGTTCAGCCGTCAGATTCCTAGAAATATGACTGCCATCTTCTTCACTATATAGATTATCGGAGTGCGTTTTACAAGAAAATACTATTTCATTCTTTCTTATTCAATGTGTTACTTGCCCTTTTTTACTTGCGTGTAATTATTTGTGAAATTTACTAGTTTCAGTAAACCCTGCACCAATGTTTCAGTCTAATAAGCCAGAATAGATTTAGTGCATCATAAATTATAGCATTATATGTATGTGCTTACAGTATGTCAAAGGTGCTCGGATGGTATACTATTTCTAATGGATTTTTGAAACCATGTAACCGTTAACTATTTGGGCACATGTTTAAACATACATCAGACTAAAGGATTGTGGGATACCTGGAATATGTGGGTCCTCCAGGCCGGTTGGCACCTTCCAGTTGTCCACATGTAGTTTCAGAGAAACAATACTGCTTTAAATTGTTGTTGTTTTTCCAAAAAAAAAAAAAATTTAAACGTTTTCTGTTTCATGTAATTGTATTTTTGTTTTTCTGAGCAAAAAAATAAATACCATACATTTTCCCCTGATTTACAGAAGACACATGTCAAAGGTGCTCGGATGGTATACTATTTCTAATGGATTTTTGAAACCATGTAACCGTTAACTATTTGGGCACATGTTTAAACATACATCAGACTAAAGGATTGTGGGATACCTGGAATATGTGGGTCCTCCAGGCCGGTTGGCACCTTCCAGTTGTCCACATGTAGTTTCAGAGCATTTACTTCATCAATGTCTCCAGGCACCCTGAGACACGCAAACACAAGATCCACTTCAGGATAAGACAATGAACACTGAATAAACACAGCTTTCTGTAAGATAGACAGAGTTATCTAAATATCATTTTATCTAAAAACTATTTATTCCATATTTATTCAGTTTTCATCTGAATAGCGCTCAGGTTTCTAAGTAAACACTTTACTTGCATTTAATGTGCTTTCTAATTAATCACGATTAATCGCATCCAAAATAAAGTTTTTGTTTACATAATATATGTGCGTGTACTGTGTATATTTATTATGTATATATAAATACACTCGCAAGCACGTATATATTTAAGAAAAATATGTTATATTTGTATATTAAATGTATTATTATTTTTTACTTATTTTTTATTAACCAACATCATAACTACATTTTACAGAATGACAAGAAGAGTACAGAGCAAAGACAAGAAAAATAAATAAATAAATAAAAATAAGAAATTTGGAATAACAATACACCACTATAACGAAACCATCAAAACCAATAAACACATAACAACAGCCTTGGATGAGATCAAAATGTTCAATAACGACAAAGAGTTAACCAGCCAATCCATTCAAAAGGAAAAAACAAAAAAAGGTGTTTAAAAGCTTCCACCCCATATCTCACCCAGCTCTTTTCATTAAGGGTTTCCATTGTTCAGCAAACAGACTCATTCTGAGTCATAACATGTACGTTATTTTTTCCATCTCATAGATTTCTCTCACTGTCCGTAAGCATTCATCAAGAGTAGGTGGCCTTCTTTAATTGTAATATTCTTCTTTGCTGAAACTAGGAGTATTCGTAGGAGGTACCTTCTCTTCTTCTCACTTTTTATTAAATCTGTCTTAACTCCCAAGATAGCTATTAAAGGGTCTCTGGGTAAATTAACTTGAAAAATGTTATTAATGAAACCAAATACATTTGTCCAGTAAGGAACTAGAATAGGGCATTCCCAAAAGATGTGTGTATGCGTTGCTACTTGTTCTCCACACTCCCTCCAACAGGCACTGGATTGACTTGAATTAAATTTGGCTATGATTTGGGGCGTTCGAAAATAACGATTAGTCACCTTCCAATGGTATTCTCTCCAGATTCTACTACATGTTATTCTATGTGTTTCTACATGTATTTCATCCCAATTCTCGTCAGATATCACTACCTTGAGCTCCCATTTTAATTTTATATAATCTGTGTTGTCCTTCTTCATGTCTTCCAGAGCCCTGTATATACAGCTAATTGGTCTAAGGATCTTGTTACCATTCTGCACATTAATCAACAAAGTCTCAATTGCTGATGGGGTAGTTTTGAACATTTTCCAATTTGGATGTTTAAAAAGGAAACTTCGAATCTGGAGATACTTATAATTATTATACTTATATAACCTTATATAACTTATACTAATTATACTTATATAACCACACCTAGATACTTAATCCCCTCTTTAGGCCATCTGAAAGAAAAGGAGGACTTTATCTGAGTTGTAATAAGAGTATTCATAGCTAGAGCTTCAGTTTTCCCAACATTGATTTTATAACCTGAATGTTTACCAAATTGGTTAATACATTCCATTAGTGTGGGGACCGAGTGTAATGGATCGGAAATATATACAATTACGTCATCTGCGTATAATGACACTTTATGTATCTCTCTTCCTACTCTTATCCCCTGAATGTCCGGGTTGCTCCTAACTATCTCAGCTAATGGCTCTATACAAAGGGCAAAAAGAAGAGGACACAGTGGGCATCCCTGTCTCGTTCCCCGTTCAAGTGTAAAGGGTTGAGACAAACAACCATTAACCCTAACAATAGCTTGGGGAGCAGTGTACGGCAGCCTTATCCAATGAATAAAGTTAGGACCAAATCCGTATTTTTTTAACACTTTGAGCAGAAAAGGCCATGACACTCAGACAAAAGCCTTTTCAGCATCGAGCGCCAGTGCCATGCAAGGTATATTAAATGTATTTATATATAATATCTATTATATAAATATAAATATATAGATGTAAATACATGTAAATATTTTCAAAATATATACTGTATGAGTGTGCATTTGTCACGTGTATGTTCCTGTTTGCCCTTATTTGGTTCTTCCTGTGTCCTGTCCTCACTGGTTTCATTTGTGTCCAGCTGTGTTTGATTAATTAGTTCATTTGCTCCCAGGTGTGTCCCATTGGTGTCTGTTCATTTAAACCCTGTGTTTCCCAGTGTTTCCCGTCTGCTGTTAAATGTCTTCTGTGAGTTCCTGTGTTTTCCCCGTTGCTCATTCCATGTTGAAATATTCTCCTGCGTCTCTTCGTTCCCTCCTCCCCGAGTGACCGTGACAGTATTTATATATACATATTAAGTATACACACATATATTATGCAAACAAAAACTTTTATTTTGTATGCGATTAATCGTTTGACAGCACTAATATATATATGTGACCCTGGACTACAAAACCAGTCATAAGGGTAAATTTTTCGTAATTGAGATTTATGCATCTTCTGAAAGCTGAATAAATAAGCTGTCCATTGATGTATGGTTTGTTAGGATAAGACAATATTTGGCCGAGATACAACT